TCTTTTCCTTGACATTTCTGGAAGCTTAAGGTCTCTAAGCTCTGTGACCCAAGGTGCCCTGTGGATTGGTGCCTAGGTGATAGCATGTACTGAATATGGCACATGTGCCCTTATCTTGGCTGTCTGCAGATCTGGCTGCCCAGGACACGGCCCAGCAAGTTCTGTATTATTTACATCTTTTCTCACTGACCTCTTGCCCACCTCTACTATGATAAAAGTGGTAGGCCTTCCCATGTACTTATTTTATGGAGGAGGGACATATATTTTATTTGGAGATTGCCAGGCATTCCCAGCTGCTTTGATTTCTCCCTAAAGACAACTGTAGATGGGAACACCCAGCCCAACTACGGTAAAGAGACATCAATCTAGCTACCTACTGTGGGGACCCAAAGACTGCCCTTGCTTCAGAGGGCTTCCATTATTCTGCCTCCGTTTCAGAACAGATACAAATATTTTTTTGAGGTTCACAAAGACACGGCAGCCACAGTCACCAAATGAGCCTGGATGTGATCATTTTAATCTCTTTCTCTCTTTATAGAACTGCCACTACTGGCCAGGAATGATACACAAAATACTTAATTGCCTACAGAGCTACAGCATGAAGCTAACAAGCTGCTCATTAATGCACCCATTGAGTTCTCTCTCCTTCCTGTAGATTCTGTTCCTGGTTTAGAAGCAGAGTTAACAAATTTTTTTCTAAGAGGCGTATCAGTCCTATAGCAGTCAGCTCTTTGAACATTTAACTTCATCTTCCAAATCATTACAGAAAACACTTCATGGCTCTGCGCCCAGACCTGACCCCTGCAGATCCCATTTGTAATGACCGTCAAAGACAGATGGATCACCATAAGCAAGTACTTTTTTCATTCAGCTTCTAAATATGAGAGTGGTTGGGCACCTCGGGGTCATTAGACTTTTCCAAATTAAATTCCTTCGAAGACATATTTCACTAATGCAGTGGAAGAGCAGAATGCCCCTGACGGTGTATGCCAGGCTCAGAGGGACAAAATTCGTGCTCACATGGGATTTGTCAAGGACAAAATGAAGAGACAGCTGCCAATTGGTTTCTTTTTCATTGTCATCCTGTCCACTAAGCATCAAAGAATGATGCTTAAACCTGCTTCACATTGTAATACGCTGGCTTGTTTTCTTTTAAACTAAATCTACATGCAGTTTCTAGTTCCTGAGGTAACTTACTCTAAGCAGGATCTCTCTATGTGTTCTTTGCTTTAGATCAAGTTCTAAACAGTTAATGTAAAAGTGTGCAGCTGTTGGTTGCAAGATATCAGGGAATCAAAGAACTTGTAATAAATTGGAGTTTTCAGCCTCACCTATAAGAACATAGGGGAACTTCCCTGGTGGCTCAGATGGTAAAGTGCCTACCTGCAATGCGGGATCTTGCCTGGAAAATCCCATGGATGGAGGAGCTGGTAGGCTACTGTCCATGGGGTCGCAAAGAGTTGGACACGACTGAGCGACTTCACTTCACATAAGAACATAAATGTGGTTGTAAAAATATACACATACTGCAATAACCAAAGGAAAACATGTCGGCTTAGACTCTACTGAAAAGCAACCAGTTTGTGACCTTGTCTTTAAATCAATTCATTAAATTTCCTTCATAGAGTCTGAATCCAAGGTTCAAATGAGGGGAGGGGAGGTGGAGTGGCAATTACTTTTTAAAATCTCCCATGATTCTTATATCTTGTCTGTCCCTCTGATTGAGAATTCAACATTAAACAGTTCTCACACAAAATGTATTGACATCAAGGCAAACTCATTCCCACTTATACTCGTGAAGTGCTTCCTTACATAGCATGTGTATTTGCTGCTAGTTGCAGACCCAGATCACATTAATAGAAATCTAGTGTGATCCGAAAAGACATCTCTGGTTTTACAGCTGTCTGGAGACAAAGGCTGTCTACCTGCTGAATTTCAACTACTTCCAGACTGTGCCTATGGCTTATTTTGGTCACACCGTTTTTTCCCTAGATGGGGTGGGGGAAGGAGGAGGGATGAAAGCACCTAACAGTGCTAAGGCTCTCAGGCCAGCCTGTCATAGGCCTTTATTCTGGGTATAAGAAAGGGAGACTATCTTTAATTTGCTAATTTTGCTTGAAAGCTATCAACAGAGACTGAGAAATAATTTTATTTTTTTAAGTTTGCTTTTCAATTAAGATATTTTTCTTCTTCTTCTTATTTTTTTCCCTGACAAGCATTTATAGCGTAGTCAGGTCTAAAGCTTAGTTGAGTTAGGTTTGGGGGTAATGAACAAGGTTTCCAATAGTTGTGAAAGGGGACTGTGATAAAAATACCCAGAGACTGAAGGAAGTGTGAGTCCAAGTTCAAATCTAGAGAAAAATACAATATAGAGAAAATACATAGAGAAAAACACACACTTTCAGTGTCGTTTGTTCCCAGTGTTCAATGGCTTGCTGACAATGTGGTAACAGGAAGTTGTCCCCTAATATCCCTTTCCCCTTTTCTACAGAATAATAGGACTTTTAATTGGGCCCATTGGCTCTAAGAAAAAGAGATATTTCAAGCCTTGGTTGTAGCTTAGGTATGACTGAATTTTGGACAGAAAAATATGAGGAAGTAATACTACTAAATTTCTTAGAAGTGTTCTTAAAAGAAGGATGTATGTTCCTTTTTTCTTCTCCCTCCTAGTTGGAATTCAAGTGGTGATGGTGACAACTGAAGCAGCCATCTTGGGCTGTAAAATGATTCTGGGAATGAATAGCTGTGTGATAGAGCAAAAAGAGAGACTTATGCCCCTAACAATCATGGAGGACCTTACCACCCTTAGGCCCTCTATCTGGACATTCACATAAAGAGAAGCAAGCTTCTGTTTTGTTTACATGAATTAGAAGAAGGGTGGGACTGAGGGAGGCAATATTTTTTATCATTCACAATAAAATCCTTTCCAAACTAATACAGAAGGAATTAGATAGATGCACAGAAGAGGGCTTCATATCCTTATGCTATCCTTTTGAAGTAGAAAGAGTTTAAGCACAATCACTATTTCACTTGTGGAAAACTCCTTCAGAGAGGTTAAGTTCTTCCTTCCATCTTACTTCTATTTGATTTCCTGTAACTTCTTTCCAGCGCAGGTTTCCAGCAGGTGTAGTCCTCATTTTTGAACATTATCACACTTCACAGTACCTAACTATATTTTGCCTTTTGGTAGACTGTGGTAGACTTTTCACAGACTGTAGACTGTGAAAACTTCAGGATGGAGAATGTCTCTTTCCTAAACACTTTTCCCACTTATGCAAAACAAAGCATCATATTTCATGGAATTCACTAGATGTCCAGTGGTTAGGACTCTGAGCTTTCATTTCCAAGGGCCCAGGTTTAAGTCCTGGTTGGGGAACAAAGATTTTACAAAACAAGCCACATGGTGCAGCCATGAAAAAAACAAAAACAACACGCCATAAGCTCTATAATTGAACTAATTTGGAAAACAATTTTGAACCCCACTCATTTAGACGTTCTCTTCTTTAGAGAAAACATCTCCATAGGAGATTGAATTATAACACTTTCTCAAATAAGGACTCTTTAACTTGAGTAGGGGGAAGAGGGAATTTGGGGGAATCCATCAACTCTGCAATGTTTTGTATATGGGAATATGAGCTTTCATCTGGAGGGAAGGTCCAAAGTTTTCATCGAAATTTCAAAAAGTTTATGACACCCCTTCCCCCACTGGCTTATAGCAAAAAAAGAAAAAAGCAGACAAACACTGGCTAAAATAATACCCTAAATGATAATAAAATTAGTTGTAGGATACAGGTAAGGAATAAGGCTGACTTAGACAATTCAGTTTATAAAGAAGATAAACCTACATATAGATCTATACATTTTCTCTATATAACTAATTTTTTAAAGCAGGCTTAACTTTCTCTCCATGGTTTCAAGGAGTGAACTTGAAGCCCAACCAAAGAGGCAGCAAACTGAAAAGACAAAAAATAAATACACTGAGAATAAACTTCAGCAATGCTTTATTGTGACCACAAAGCACCAGTTCAATGCGGCACTGACACACCGAGACTGAACAAATGTCTCTTTGAGCAGAGATGTAGCAAGCCCACTTTTTCAAGTTCTTAAAAACAAGTACTCAGATCAGAAATCAAACAAAGCATCAGAGCAATTAAAAAAATATTACACGGTCATGAAGGAATATATATATAGAAAAATATTCTGTACTGGTAACAAGGCTTTTTGATCTATAACTCTTGGCAAATTTCTTCAGAAACAGTTATAAATACAAACCATAATGTGAAAAAAAAAAAGTCTTCTTCAGAAATAGAGAACCAATTTAAAAGCAGATCTATGCAGAAAATACCATTAACCCCAATGAAAGCTAACTGAAAATAGATGGATATCCCCAAAACACAACAGGGTTTCTCTTTCCAGAGCTACAGTTCTGCTCCTAAAGGGGCCATGATGTACGTCCATTTCCAACATGGCAGCATATCCCAGTGAAACCTTAATAAGGTCAAGTGGAGGACCCTCTATAAAAAAGGGTGTTGGCAATTCCATCCAAATAACACAAGCTCTAAGGAGCAGAGGACTTCAAGGGAGATGCAATCCCTTTCTCTTTTATCCCCCTCCCCAAGTTTTCTTGCTTTAGATCTTCCCTGTTACAGTCAGTTACAGCTGTAACTGGAAGATGCTCATTCCATTCAGTTCTTTTTTCAAGGAATTTGGGAAAGTAATCTATGAAGAAAACCCTCCTTGTGGGGAAGGGTATCTAATCTCATCAAAGACCACTCTATTTGACTAGGTCAACAAGGTAAGCCATCCTGTTCACATGTCCTCACTCCTGGCTGAGTTCAGGTTAGCTGATGGATTGCCTAGTCTATCCCATAGGATAACGTTTCATTTGATCGAAATTCTTTACATATACACATGTATGTATTCTGTTTACAAAGTTTCATCACATGAAACCAAATTCTGTCATTATGTATTTTTTGAGGTCCAAGACCCCAATTTGACTACTAGGAAGAGTTGTGCTTTAAATGCTTTGTCTGCAGAGGTTTTACATGATACTCGTAGATTTTCAGAGCAGGCCCCAGTTTTAACTGAAGTCCTGTCAACACATCATTTCTTGTCATCAGTAGCAGGGATTTTCCGTCAATTTCCTATAATGGAAGCAGAAGGTAAAGCCAACGTGTAAGTCCAAAAGTTCAAGGATAATGAAGAAAAACGGAAGGTCAAAGGAAGACGTTTTTGTCTCCACACTAAAAATATTACTATTTCTTTTTAAACTAGTGCCCCAAATGTAATCTTCTATTTTTATCTTCCATCTTCACCATTTATTTTGGAGTTAAATATAATCTATAGCTGATCTTGTTTTCAAGATCACATCACAAATGTCACATCTTTAAAAACTGACAGCAAGCCTGGAGTATGTACCCTGAAGGATCAAAGACGAAGCTTCCTTAAAGGAAGAATGACACTTTGCATTTATAAAATATTATTGAAGTTTAAGAAGAATTTTTGCCTATTTAATTCCAAAAATCACTCCATAAATTAGGACAGGCAGGAATTATCAACTTAATTTTATAGGCAAACCAAGGATAAAGGCAAAAAGTTAGCTTGCCCAGAAGTTACGAAAGAATGGCACAGAATTTGAATCCCTATCTGCCTATAGCCAAAGCCCATGTTCTTCTCATAACTCACTTGTTTCTCTTGACACTCAGAAGTAAATATGTGTTGTCTAGATGGACCAATGGGGACCAGAGGCAGGTTTTCTGAAACCTTTTCAATCAGAACAGTGGGCATTGGAAAAACGACTTTCCGAGAACTTCTTTCCTGCCCTTTAAAAGGAGAACCATCCTGCTTCAATCCGAATATCAATTCTCATGCTACCTACTTCGTCTTAGTGGCGCCTCAAGAATCCAGATAAGGCAGCAAGGGGCAGGGCTGTGCCCACCGGAAATTCCCTTCCGGATTCTCCTTACAGTCCACGGCCCCCCTCCTCTCAGGTACCCAACCCCGCGGACTTCTACTATGGAGACTACAAAACTGAAATGACATAAAAGCAAGCTTCTTGTGAAAGAGATGAGGACCCCAAATATAGAAAGTAGTTTGAAACCTTTGGAAAAGAAGCACTGAGAAGAGTGCTGAATACAACCTTATCTTTGTCATTGTGAGGCGATGCTAAGCTGCTGCTGCTAAGTCACTTCAGTCGTGTCCGACTCTGTGCGACCCCATAGACGGCAGCCCACCAGGCTCCTCTGTCCCTGGGATTCTCCAGGCAAGAACTCTGGAGTGGGTTGCCATTTCCTTCTCCAATGTATGAAAGTGAAAAGTGAAAGTGAAGTCGCTCAGTCGTGTCCGACTCTTAGCCACCCCATGGACTGCAGCCCACCAGGCTCCTCCATCCATGGGATTTTCCAGCCGAGAGTACTGGAGTGGGGTGCCATTGCCTTCTCCGACGCTAAGCTAGTTCTAAGGAAACCTGGGTTCATGGCTGGACCAGCTGTGCATGCTCAGTAAACTCCACCCAGCTGTACATGATTTTACCCATCCCCCTCCCCCCCACCACCAATGGGCAGACAAGGAGACACCGTGTGCACCTGCAGCTACGTAAAACTGTGACTCCCTCCCACACTGTCCCCAAGAGGACCATTCCTCCAAAGCCTCTCATGTATATTGCCAGGCTGTGAGGAAGATGTGCTCTGAATGTGTGACTGTGTGGGAGAAACAGCATTGAAGAAACACCCACTTTGTGACCTTGGGCAAGTCTTTTCCTCTGCTATCTCCTCAGCTGATAATATGGAATATTGAGTTTTGAGAGGAGGATTTCATGAGATACCATTCTTGCAAGTGCTCCCTGAGCTATGAGTTACATCATCACTTGTCAGTATTCCTGGACAGATCAGGGCCCTCATTTTACAATTATTTAAGGACATAGGAACTGACTTTCCAATCTTAATTATTTTCTGTTTAGGCAGCTAGCAATCCCAAAGACTGTCCATCAGCAAAACCTACAAGCCTGAGAGTTGGTAAATGACCCCTGACCCCTGGAAACTGCAGCAGCAGCTCTGGGCATTGTGAGGTCACAGGAATCTGAACCACAGGTTACAGCAAAGCTCATGCTCTACCTCATGCCCTGAGATGAGTAGGGATTCGCTGGGGATGCTTCACACAACAGCAAAGGCTTCCCTGCTCTCCATTTTTCCTTTACTGCTGTTTGCCTGTACTTAACTTACCACCAGGCAATGGCACCCCACTCCAGTACTCTTGCCTAGAAAATCCCATGGACGGAGTAACCTGGTAGGCTGCAGTCCATGGGGTCGCTAAGAGTCAGACACGACTGAGCGGCTTCACTTTCACTTTTCACTATCATGCATTGGAGAAGGAAATGGCAACCCACTCCAGAGTTCTTTCCTGGAGAATCCCAGGGACGGGAGATCCTGGTGGGCTGCCGTCTATGGGGTCGCACAGAGTCGGACACGACTGAAGCTACTTAGCAGCAGCAGCAGCAGCAGCAGCAACTTACCACATATTTTAAACAGGCATCAGGAAGAGATGACACTGCTTTCATTTCTATACAAGAAAACTTCCTTGACTAACTGAAAATGAAATTTTTTATATCTTTGTTGGCAAAAAGTCCTTCTACAACTCAGCATTTCTGTCAAAAGCCAAGTACGTCTGTGAAAAATGCTGAAATTTGGATTTTATTTAAGACAAAATGGAAAATTATGTTTCACGCTCCAATTTGATTTTCCTTTGTTTGGTAGCCACACTGCAGTTCACCTCGGATGAGGGTTTGTAAAAGAAAACTCCATCTGGAATTTCTCATTTAAAAATTTTTGAAATGAATAGAATTCATGTGTATAAAAAAACTTAAACCATAACTATTGCAGCTCAACTGAAAGGGAGTGGAGATGGCATAATGGAAATGGGATCTTTCAGGTCAAACAAACTGCAGTCTGAATTCTGTCTCCACAACTTATTGTGTGGCTCTGGGTAAGGGACTTAACTTCCCTGAGCCTCAATTTCCAAGCTTGTAAAATGGAAATAAACTCCTGAAGGATTTGGGAGGTTAAAAAATGATTCATATAAGGCACCTAGCACAGTGTCTGACATACAGGATGTTCTCAATGATTACTAAATGGAAAAGTATAAGCTTTGAAAGAAATGGGATGTGTTCCCATTCCAAACCCATCTTCTGCTTCCTTTCTGGAAGTGTTCTCCCTGCCTGAAAGCTACCCTTTGCCAATGGGATGCAGGCATATTCTTGTTTAAGTTCAGAAAATCCAGAGATTAAAAAAGTTCAAAGACTATATAAAAATGTGTCTTATAAAAATCACAAACATAGGAAAGTTCCCTATTTTAGATTAGATTAGGAAAGCTAATCATTTGTTATATAACTTCTATAAAAGCTTGCAAGGCAAATGAAGCCCAAATTTTGCCAGTCAGCACAGTATACTAGAATGGCATGAGACTGGAAATCAGAAGACAGAGGTTTCTAATGCAGACTCCATCAGTAACTTTCCACAAGGAAACGCTCCTCTGGAGTGTAGTTGTATATAAATGAAGGAGTTGGAGTGTGACCAGATCCAGTTAGACAAACAAAAACATCCCATGATTTTGTCTTAATCCAAAACAAAAATATAATTCACACCTTGGGATTTTTGTTTTTGTTTCTATGTTAAGTGGTAATCCTTTGTTAGTTTCAGTGAAACTTTTTACATTGCTTCTGTTTTCTTGTTAGAATAACCAAGTGCCTGCTGGGCAATAAGACTCAAAATGCTTGTCTACTTAAGTTCCTGAAATACCCATGCATGGAAGTAAGATTTAGAGATGACAGGTGTAAATTTCCAATGAAGGCAAGAACCTAGATCTAAAAATAAATGAGTAGAATCCATATATGTTACAACTCAGTAGATAAGCCTGTATTTTAGAGTAAGACACTATCTTATTGCTTATTAGGTGGGGCCTGGGGCAAGTTACTTAATCTCTCTAAGCCTCATTTCCTTATTTGTATGATGGGGGAAAGCAGTACTTCACTGCTGAAAAGATTATTGAGATAACACATGTGAAGTGGAATTCCTGACTTCTACTGAGCATTTGATAAAATGCTGGCTATTTTAAAAAATATATTTAAGCAGTCTTTACCCATTTACTTTTCACTCTAGCAACGTTAAATCTATATATAGGTGACTCTTTCAACTAAGCCTAATTGTGATACAGTCCATTGGAAATGTATGGAGAGAAAGGAGATGAGCTCAGAAGAGAAGAGGGCCATCAAGACAGAGGCAACGGCTAACAGGAAGGTAGGATAGAAAAAAAGAATTCAGGAAGAGAAGTTAGGGTGATTTGTGATGGTAGGATTCTGTACACCTCTCAGAAGGCCATATTTGTGGTGGTCTCTACTGTCCCAGATGGAGTACAGGGGGAAAGAGGTTCAGTTTAGAAGCAGAAGACTTGGGCTGGAAGTCAAACTGTGGCTTCCTAGTTCCTCCTTGTGGAGCATTTGGCCCATCAGTCCTTTCTTCTGTGAAATGAGAAATCTGGACCAAGCAGACCCTGCCCTGCAATGCAGGAGACCCTAGTTCGATTCCTAGGTCAGGAAGATCTGCTGGAGAAGGGAAAGGCTACTCCAGTATTCTGGCCTGGAGAATTCCATGGAGTATAGTCTATGGGGTCTCAAAAAGTCAGACACAACTGAGTGACTTTCACTCACTCACTCAGACCCTGTCCATTCCATTTCAACACATTCTCAGATTCCAGTTCTGTCTGGGATCAGCACTGGACACGCCAGCCTCACAGCAAAGTCTCCCTATGAAAGAACACGGCAGCAACTCCTTACCCATGGCGTGGAGGAATCTAATGAAATAGGTGTTCTTTTCCCATTTCGGTCTTCTGGCTCACATTTTCTAGAACTTTCTTTATAACTACTTTCTTGCCATTCACTACCTGGCTGTAAGTGGTGACCAGTTTGAAGTTTCCCATTCCACTGCTTATGAAGGGAACAAATGTCTTGGAGGAAGGGGAATTTGGCCCAGAGCCCAGGGATCCAAAAGTAGAAAATCCTGTGTCCAGGATGGGGGTCACATCAAGGAAGGAGGAGCGGAATCTCCTGGCCCCTCCCACACTGTCAGTGGGAAAACAGTCTCCTGAGAAGAAG